CCCAGTGTCTTTCGCTCTCACTTTTATGCATAAACTTCCTCTTTTTGGATAATACCACTTTACTTTGGTGTGCAAACTCTGGACTTGTCTGTTCTCTATAACAAATTCAGTAAGAGCGAGCGAGCGTAGGCCGTACCGTTAGTGACACGGTTGCGAGTTCACGCCGGGGTCACCAATTTATAGGGTTCTAAGCAGTGGTTGTGCCTAGTTTACTACAATCATCTTCGACTTGTTTTCCTTTTCAGTACTGCGCCCAGCTCAGTCGACCGACCAGCTAGGCGGTGGAGGAGAGAGTGAGGTCGACCTTCAGCGCATGTTTTTCCGCACTGTAAACAATCTGATGCGCTTGAAGCTGTCGCGGTGCGCTAAAAGCCTTGGCTTGGAGGGTTGCCAACTGACGGGATAACTCGGAGACCGTAGTCGATCCAGTGTATATCTTGTCGTGTGGAGTGGCTTACTGCGGGCTGAGAGTCAGGCTCAATGGCTCTTTCTGAGTGTAGCCCTTATGGTGTTCCCAAGCGGGAGCCTACCTAGCGAGGTTTTGCTGTTGGTATGAGTGTTGGTCGCGCCAGCCGCCTGCGCCCTCCCTCATCTCCGGTCTTCTCGACTTTTCTCCTGACATCGCGTCACGGTGTGGGAGTGGGGTAGATTCTCTGCGAGTCTACTTTCATTATAATTCAGCGAAAGTCATGGTGCTTGCCCTCAACCCGCTGAAGCTCGTGGTGGACATGGTCGAGACAACGGTTGAGCTGTCGTCTTTGGTAGCTGCTTTTAAATCGGCCAAAGGATGGTGTGTTCAAGTGGCTCTTTTACAGTCACCACTCGGTGGACGCGCGGGGAAGTCGGTCGAGGGTCAGCGAGGCGGAAAGTGGTGGCAGGACTTTGGGGCAGTGAGCATTGAACGAAGAAGCCGGAAGGCAATGTTGGCTGTTCGCCACAGCACTTCTAGGTTGGGGATATTTCATCAACTAAACCACCAGGGCCTTTAGGTTGCGCATTCTGAGTCTCTTTTGTTGGAAAATTGGTAAGAACAGCAAGTTTACTGGATATACTATTACTACTGGTTATGAGTGTCGAAAGAGGAGTGATCATCGACTGCAGAAGGTTCCCCAAAGTTAGAAGTCAGGTAAGACCGATTGGGTTGGACAGTGTGCTGTAGGAAAAGAGCTAACAAAAGGTTCTACAGAAAAAACTGCTCACAGTACAAATGCCAGTTGATTTGTGTGTGCTCTGTGCCTGTGCGTGCGGCACACAGGATCCAGAGACATGTTCCGCAGCCAATCAGGAAATGGTGCTCATAGATTGGATCGAGCTCAAGAAGATCTGATGCCTAGAT